CCTTCGATACCAACCATGAAGTATGATTTTGCTTGTTCACTTAATATTTATTTATTTATTATATTTATTAATTTAGTTTTAATACTTATATTTTATTATATATTGTAACAGGATGTTGGGTAACCTTTGCTCAAGCTACTATTGATGAGTTATCTAATTATTCACTTGATCATATATCCAAAGGAAACTGAATTAACGTTAAGTCTGAGGATGGGTTATTTGATCAACCATCAGTTTCTTACATTGGTAAGGATGAGATTAAGGAATTTTGTAACTTGGATGAAATATCAGCTGCTAATATTATCACTTATATGAGGTTAGCTTATAAATATAAATATGCAAAGTCAATGTGTATTAATCTATATTTGGTGTATTACTAACTAGTATTATTGATTGTTATCGTGCAGTTTCCTATATAGAGGGGTCAAGGTGAGACAAATGACCTCTAGATTCAAATTTGTTGGCCCAAATTTCAATAGTGAGTAGATGGCATAATCATTTTTCGTGCTTGTTATGTGATTGAATGCATGAAAAAAATGGACTAATTATTATTTGCTCTTGTGTAATGCTACGTAAGTTATATTCATATAAATAATTATTACAACCTTACCCGAATATGAGACGATGCCTAATCTGAGTATATCATTTTTATTATTTTGCAGTCATCATTGGCCACTTATTGTGATTGATACCAATTCCTTTACGCCATACTCATTTAATTTCAATCAATCAACAGTGATGCCTAATCTCGATATTAAAAAATTTATAAAGAGGTATTACTGTTATTATATTATCTTCTATTTCTTCATAATTATTTTTATTTTTATATTAAGTAATTTTTTTCTTTTCAATTTAGGGTAATATCTACATTTCATAAGAAAGCAAAGATAAATTGGGTGTCAGTACTGGTAAATGTGAAATTTATTCTTTTATGCTAAGTTTATTTAGATAAATGTTTCCTAAACCCACTAAATTTATTTTTTAGGTACCTTGTCAACCAGGATATACTGAATGTGGATATTATATCCTTCATTTTTTTGGGGAGATAGTTTTATATAATTTTATAACCACACCATTTAAAGTTAGTATTAATTTCATAAAATCGTTATATCTTAAAAAAAAAAAAAGCTAAATTATGTTCTCGTTCATTAATATTTACTTTTGATTTTTTTTAATGAATGAGTAAAGAAAACTTTACGACAAAAAACTTGATGAAGTTCATAAAGAGTGGTGTGAGTATGTATTATCGTTTGCTAAACCTTGAGGTTAGAGATTGTTGGTTGGGTGTAAATATATGCATTTCATTTGTTATAATGTTTTTAACATGCCATGTTGAATGGATAATTTAAGTTTCTAGATTGGGGTATTGGTTTAATATTATTGGTATATATATGTTTTATATCAATTGGCAGCTTATATGAATACATATATATCGAGTACGATTATTTAAAAAAAGTATATTTATATGGCAACGTTATCAATTTTAAATTCGAATGTGTGGTCAATTTATTAAAATATTATAACGTTCATAATATAAATTCCAAATGTAATTCGTAGTATCACATATATAAACTAAATGTTTTCTAAGCATAAACTTACAACAAACTTCAAATGTTTTTTAAGCATAAACCTACAACTGACTTCACATATATAATTAAACAAAATATTTTTTATGGGATTATTGAAGGCATTTTTAGCCAGAAAACGCCTTGAATAATCCTTTATAAAATGTTGAATGAGGTTATTAAAGGCGTTTCTGGCTAAAAACACCTTCAATAATCCCCTTCAAAATTTTTTGTATGGATTATTGAATGCATTTTTGGTCAAAAACGCCTTCAATAATTCACTCAATAAATTTTTATGAGGGATTATTGAAGGCATTTTTGATCAAAATGCCTCCAATAATCCCTTTCAAATTTTTTCAAAGGATTATTGAAGGCATTTTTGGTCAGAAATGCCTTCAATAATCCTATCAGTAATTTTTATGAGGAATTATTGAAGGTATTTTTGGCCAAAAACACCTTCAATAATCCTTTCAAAATTTTTTATATGGATTATTGAAGGCATTTTTGACCAAAAATGCATTTAATATTCTCTTTCCAAAATTTTTTGAATGGATTATTAAAAGTGTTTTTTGCCAGAAAATACCTTGAATAACCCCATTCAATTTTTTTATAGTCTTATTCAAGGTATTTTTTGGCCAAAAATACCTTCAATAATCCCCTCACAATGTTTTAGGGGGAGTATTGAAGGTGTTTTTAGCCAAAAACGTTTTAAATAACCCTTACAAATAATCCCTTGAAAAACATAAAAAATTTTAAAGGGAGAAATTGAACCTATGACCTTATGGTTAACAACCATATGCTCTAATCGATAGAGCTACTCCAGTTTTTAGAATTGAATAGTTTTATTTAAGAGGTGATTATTCAACATATTTCAGGCCAAATACCCTTTCAATAATCCCTTTAAATTTTTACGAGGAGATTTATTGAAGGCATTTTTTACTAAAAATACCTTTACTAATCCTCTCCAATTTTTTAGGAGAATTATGAAAAGCATTTCTGACAGAAAATGTCTTTAATAATCACCTTTATTTTTTATAAGGGGATTATTCAAGGCATTGTCTGTCAAAAACGCCTTCAATAATCCCCTATACATTTGTTATGAGGGAATTATTTAAGACATTTTCTGCCAAAAATGCCTTCAATAATCACTCCAATTTTTTAAAGAGGATTATTCAAGGCATTTTAGTCAATAAACGCTGTTAAATTTTTTCTTTAGTGGCGTTTATAAGTTCCAACACTGCTATTTGAATATTTAGTAACATTTTGATAAAAAAACGTCTTAAGTTTTATAAAAATATAGAAGCTAGAAACATTTTTAAGTGAAACGCCACTACAAAACTACCATTAATCTTCCATTTTCTTATAGTGAAAAGCACATGTTGTTATGTACCTTAAACATTAGATAAATTTTTTCTTTCTTTCCTTCTTTCTTTTGCTTACGAAACTGAGTTTAAAGGTTTTTCTTTTTTTTCATAGGACATTTAGAGCTTTTTGGAATTAATCATTATAAAACTATAGGTTAATATCATAAATGACTTCAAAATTATAGTGAATGTTCAATTTGATACTTAAATTTTAAAATTTTTCAATATGATATTTGAATTATAAATTTGTCAACTAAAACGATTCTTGGAAAGTTGTTTATCAATTACATGTTATCATTTGAAATTAACTACATTAGAGGTAAGTATCACATCAGTTAATAGATGGCTAAAGGGTATAAAATACCCTTAAACTATAATTTAAAAAATTCAAATTTTTATTTTTTTTATTGCAATCAATCAATCTCTCCAATTTCCTTTTACATACGATTAAATCCTTATTTAGATGAAAAAGTTAACACCGTTAATTTTTATATCAACTAAGATAAAAATTTCATGTGATATTAATAAAATAGATTAAAATTTATCATATGACACAATTAATATATATGAAAATTAATAAACTTTTTTTCTTTTTTTTTTCCTTTGCTTTCTTTACCCCTTTCTAATATCTCTTTAAATGTTTAATTGACTATAGTTTAAGGGTTAGATTTGTTAAAATTTATTATGCGATTAGATTTTATTTATTCAAGAGTTCAATTAAATCAAAATAAAAAATTAAGAGCTAGATTAATTGCAATAAAATATTAAGAGTTTAAATGATTATTAAATTATAGTTAAGAACTATTTTTTACCATATAATATTCATAATTCAAATATCACATTAAAAATTTTTAATATTCAAATATCACATTAAATATTTTATTATATTTTAAGCGTCATTCATGACATTAATCCATAAAAATACTAATAATAATGTAATTAAGAATAGCTACTATAAGGATTTAATATGAATGGAATGGCATGCGTTACATTGACCTTCATGTAATATAATTAATAGAATTATTAATAGTATCTATTATCTAGTGAAAAAGAAACTAAAATAAAATCTAATGAGAATTAACATGGGTTTAATTGTGCTTTCATTATGTACGACCAAAATTACTATCGGCATTTTTTTGTCATTAATGATGCTGAATATTACCTCAGTATCCGATTCAAACTGATATGAAGAGTGTCTTAATGTTTTGAGTTTTCAGTTACAAATTAATGCTCATTTATTATGTAAAAATCTTTGATATTTTCTAGCTGCTAAATGAAATTAAATACTTTATATTTTTAGCCAAAAAAAAAAAATAAAAGTGATGGTGACAAAATTATCGTCATATTTTTAATGTCTATTATTATTTATTAATAATTGTTTTACTCGAACGCTACTTAAGCGGAGAAAATATTTCATGAAACAGTTATTTTGTTTTCCTTTGAGATTATTCATCTAAATAGAGGTATTATATTTCTCAAAAAAAAAAAAAAAAAAAAAGAGGTGTTACATATGTAACCAGTAATAGTCATGAATAGAGAAACAATTGCACTTGTAAAAGAGTTATAATAACATCAAAATTGGAGAAATTAAGTTATTATTCTTACCTAGCTTCAGTCATAGTTAAATTGATCAGTTAAATAATCTACGCCTAGACAAAAATCAAAACAACAAATTCTTTATAAAAAGGGGGTTATAAAATGGTCATGCTTTGTATATATTAATTCTAGTTTTCCAACATTATAATGCGTTATGGATTAAGTGATTTCCCCTATCAATATAGTCTCCACCATCCTATAATTACCCAAATACCCTTTAGTAAACTTCAAAAGACCAAACCATCTCTATCAGCTAGCCTATCAGCAGCTACCATATACCAAAGCTTGGTAAATCTAGAAAAAAACATGTTTGCCAACATAATTAAGCTTCTCCTCAAGCAATTGGCAACCATGTGATTCAGCCATAATCCACGGCCATGATCAAACAATATAGTAAATGCCTTCCTGTTTCTCACCTTATTAAGGAACTCAAAGCTGAAATGACAAGGCCATAACACTTGGTCATCAACTTCTCATGGAGTTTGATCCAAAGCTTAGCGAAAACATGACCCCTCAAGGCCAGCAGCCGATGGTATTATCCGAGAACTGTCTAAAACCCTGTATGAAATACGATCAGTTTCCCTCTGAAACTACTCCATCATCATCATCATCAAAGGGTTATTATTTGCAAGACTTTCACCATCTTGATCATCAAATTCATGTCAACGGGTCGTCTTCAAATCCTGCTTATGTGGTCCAAACAGCTTGTTATGATCCTTTTGATGCGTTCCCTTATGGTTATTCCACAAACAATGTTGATTTTTATGAGTGTAAGCCGTTTGCAGACAATGTAGGACATGGACAAGTTATGGACAATTTCCAGAGTGGAGGATTCTTAAACCTGTCTCAGAGGAACTCCAATAATGTTATGGGATCAGATATTGGTTGCTTTGATTTACAAGAAACGAAGCCTGTGAATTTTGTTGTGCCAGATGAAGTCTCATGCGTGACCGCAGAAAATGCTTACTACAAGAAAGCTGGCATGAACAAGAATAGGGTATTGGCTTCAAACCCTAGTACTTGGAAAGGTCGTAAGAAGTCCAATGTAGTCAAAGGACAATGGCTAATTGAAGAAGACAGGTATTCTAATTTCCTCTTTAAAACTTATTGCATAGATGATGCTTTTTATATATCTAAATTGATTAAAAATGCGTATGTTTCATACAATCATATAAAATTAAGATAATTCAATCAATATGAAAGTGAAAAATATAATCATCTTCTACATAACCTTTTCCTTTCTTTTATTCACTAGGTTTGTTATTTATTATGTTGTTATTTTGTTATGCTTATTATGGTGTTATTTTCATATTTAACTAACTAAACTAAAATGCTATTGACTATATATCTTTTATCATATATATTTGCTATGTATTTTTGTACACTTGATAACAGATTTTGCTCATCTGTTTGGATCATATGCATGTTTCCACAGGCTCTTGATTCAATTAGTTGAACAGTATGGAGTGAGAAAATGGTCACATATTGCTCAGATGTTGCCTGGAAGAATAGGGAAGCAATGCAGAGAGAGATGGCACAACCATCTAAGGCCAGACATCAAGGTTCACAGCTAGTTCTTTTTCTTCCCAATATTATTATTTTAAGTAAATATTATTTATGATGAACATATTAATGTTTTATATGAGATGAGATTGTCACTTTCTCAGTTCTTCAATTTTTAACATAATCGTGTTGCACTACAGAAGGACACATGGAGTGAAGAGGAGGACAAGGTCCTAATACAAGCCCATATCGAGATAGGAAACAAATGGGCAGAAATTGCGAAGAGGTTGCCTGGAAGAACAGAAAACTCCATCAAGAACCATTGGAATGCAACCAAAAGAAGGCAATTTTCAAAGAGAAAATGTCGTTCAAAGTACCCTAGAGGCTCCATTTTGCAGGAATATATCAAGAGCTTAAACTTAGAGTCAAGCAGCACAAGATTCCAAGAAAAATCTTCTAATGGTATTGATGCCACAGTAGACAAAAGTTCAACCAAACCATCAAATTATCAGCCGCAAGCATTGGATTTTTGCCCCAGTACTGATCGTTTAGTGCCAGAATATGATTTTAATGAGGTCCCTGATTTTTCTTTTGATGAGAAACTGCTTCAAGAAAGCTGCAGCATTGACTCTCTTCTTGACGAAATACATAGTGCTACTGCGGCTGATGTAGCTGATAATCAAATTGAGAAAAGCTTTGAGATGGATGTGTCTGTGGATATGTCTCCAGTGATGGGACTTTCAGTGAAGAAGGAGCTAGATTTGGTGGAGATGATCTCTCGGCAGGCTAATATCTAACCAGGCCTCAAAAACCAGTACAACACAAACTATTACCGGAGGTTTAGGTTTTTTGATTCGAGGGTTTCTTAATTAAAAGCAAATTAAGTTATATAGGGAGAAGAAAATGGCTTAAAATTAAATATGGCTTAGTGATTGAGGGTGGGTTCAACAGAAAATTTGTATGAGGTATGCCATTGAGATTTGCAGAAACAGATTAATAATAATAAGGATAATAGTAGTTATAAATAAAGGGACTTAAATTTGTTGCAACATGCAACATGTTTGTCTGTAACTACGTACATGTCAATGTAGACATGTATGGAAGATTGCATATCACTACTGTTGGATACTTATGTAACCATACAGTTATAAGTTTTAAAGGAGTTCTTTTTTTTTTTTTCATTTATTTCTACCATTAAAAGTTTAATTAAAATTTACTAAACTTTTAATGCAAGAAATAATAGTATGGTGTAATTAATGCAAATTTGAGTTAAATGGATGAGAGCAAAGGACATTTTTGTGTAGAGATGGGACAAAGATAATTTGTTCGGTAGATTTGGTCATATGTTGAACTTTTTAGTTAAGATTTCCCTTAATCCAATATTATGTATTAACCTCATTCCACCTCCTCCATCAAGGCTTGAAACAAACTCGGACTCGCATATTCTATAAATTTTTAGTTCCCTAGTAAAAAAAATCTATAGAAAAACTTTTCTTTCTTAATGGCTTAATATATATCCCTTTTTTAATCCTAATGCCATCAGCATTTTATGCATGTCTAAGAATACAACTAGCCATGTAGTGGGTGAGTAGTTGTTTAAATAATTGGGAGGCAAAAATAAGGCTTCTCCAAAGCAATGAAAATAGAAAAGGAAAAGAAAAAGAAAAGAAAAGGGAAAGTTTAAAAAACCAAGTTATTCAATTTAAATTTTTAAAACATAGTATTAAATAGATACTTTAAGAATTAGTATGATATAGATAAAATGAAAAGGCTAAAAAAAAATCTCTTTTCGCGTTTTTTTTTCTTCTCTTGAGGGAATGGGGATTAGATGTTCTGATGATTTGTTCAACATACTTCAACTTTTATATATTTAAGTCATCTCGATATTTATATTTCAATTTTAATCGAATTAATTGATCGAATTAATTTAATTTGATTAACCAATTAGCCATCAAATTAATTTTGATTTGTTATCAAAACTAAAAAATGACTTTGAAGAATTTTGGTTATCAAACCCAATCGAATTAATCAAAATTTTATTTAAAATATAAAAACTCAAAGATAAAACTAAAAAAAAATACATGAAACAGGCCATTTTATTTTTATGAATTATAAAAGTTTTTTATTTTATAAATTATAAAAGTTTTTAACTTAATGTACACTTTGATATTTGAATTTTGTGTTAGATAATTTTATTTAATTTATTTCAAATATGAAAAATTAAGAGTTTAAAATGTAATTCAACTTAAATATATTTTACTATTCGATTAATTTTAAAATTAATCAAATTCAATTTAATTAATTAAATTTTTAAAATTAATAATTACAATTTGATTAATAAATAATAAATAATTTAATTTATGAATTAACAAAATAAACACTCCTAAGACTTTCTTTTGGGACCCAAAATCTCTTGGATTGGATTGGAGTCCAAAATTGAGAAGACTTGAAGGCAAGCAAAAACCCATGGGATCCAAATTCCACATTCAAAATTTTCCCAGTTTTTTGGTGGCTGTTGGCAGAAGGGAATGAGTACAAATGATGCAGGTTAACCGTAGGGCTATCACACAATTGTTTGATAGATTTGAGAGAGCATCTTTATAAGTTAGGTGTTAAAGCCTCGTACCCTTTCAATACCAAAGGCAGCAAGTAAAGATTTTGCCTACCTATGGATGTATGCATCCCGAAGAACAGGATGGTTTCACCTTTCGGTCATTTCCTTACCAATAGTCATTGTACTACATTTTACCAAATGTTACATTCCACAGCCAATTAATTAAACAGAAAGTCATCAAACCCAAACCAAAGACGAGAATTCTTCTCAGCGGAATTGGGTTCTTGCTAAAATCAAGTGGCAGTCCGCAGAAGGAATTTAGATTATCCAAAAAGGTAAAATAGACAAAATGGGAAAGTACAAACCAAACTCACTAATATGTCCTTAAATCATATAACAACTCAATTTATCAGCAAAATCTTCAAGCTGCCTTTGCCTTTGGCTTAATGCGCTTCACCCTGGAATACCAGAAAACTCCTGCAAGGGCAATTCCTGTGCCTGCAGCAAAAAAAATCACCACAGTAATTACTAAACATAGGCTTTAAGGAACAAAACATAAAACCAAACAAAAACAAAAATCTTTCTGATATTTTTCAATCAGGATATTATTGGAAAGCAATTTTACCGAGAGAATTGATTGGTGAGACGGGTGTCTTGAAGAAAAGAACAGAGCTGACAATGACAACCACCCGTTTCACACAGTTGCCCACAGAATGAGTAACAGGGGATACCCTTTGCAATATCATATAAGAAACCTGCACGATTTGGATCAAAAAATAATCACCATTGCATCGAGTATCATGTATTTGAAAAAAAAAATTAAGGCTACACTTAGAAGGATTTGGCATAATTTAAAATGATGTTTCTTTGAAAGAAACAAATGAGATATTGAGATCTCCAACATAGTCACTGGACTGCCCTTGCATCTAACATTTTCCCAATCTTTTTAGGTCATGTTTGATGCATAAGATGATAGATAGGATAGGATGATAATCATCCTATATTATGTTTAATTTATATCTAAAGAAAGGGATAGGATTCCAAGAAGGATTATCATCCTCTTGGTATAGAATCATTCAATCCTCTCAATGTGGAGAGGATTATTTTTAATTCATAGAATTGAACTTACATGTCCTATTATACCTTTAAAAATTACATTTATAATTTAAATTGTATAAATTTTAAGGAAGGATAATTTTGACCAATAAATAAATTATCCTATCCTAACCCTAGCACGCATCTAATATATGATAGGATAACATTATTTAATCTAATCCTATTTATAATATTATCTTATACTATCATAATCTTGTGTACCAAAAACATGACCATCATTCATTCTCCACAGTTGTATTTCAGTACGCAGCAACTTTGTACTTATGCATGCGATTCTTAAGGGAGACAGAAAAAACCATCAACATGCAAAAAACCTCACCTGCTGATAGGCATGGAAGCAAAGCGCAGCGAATAGAGATCTTACAACAACTTCTTTAACATTCAAACCCTGTTAGACAAGATAAAGGTGTAGCTAATTATGAAGAAATTTAGAAAATATTTTTTATCAAAAGCAAAATCAGGGTAGCTGTAGCAACTTTAGCTCATCAACAGTACTCACAGCAGATTGCATGTAGGCAGGGGTAAACTTGACACCCTCCATGAAGATAGCCGCAGGGGCTAGCAAGAAAAAGGACATAATTGTTATTATGGAGAAGAGGGTAATGTTGTCCATCGAGTCCTGTCATATAATAACTGCCAGTTATGTGTTATAAAAGGTAACTTGTCAAAAAAGATTAGCAATGTAAAAAGACCATGTTGCAATGTATCAATCCAGAAGTAGCTAGAATTGCCACTCCAGCAAATGTTAGCACCATAGTAACCCAAAGGACAAGGATCTCAAAAAGTAAAAATACCTCTTTCTTGACCATGACCTTTTTGCTGAGAACGTTACGAGACTGGTTTGTCAAATTGGAAGCCATTGCACTCCAAAATCCAGCCCTTTATATGTTTTGAAAAAAAGGTTATATTACAAATCAAGATATCTGTACCAGAATCAGAAATGGATTGCATATGAAAGATTCCACAGTTAAAATATAGATATTACACGCTAGCATATTCAATTTCTTACCAATTGAAAGAGGCCTCAGTAACAGATGCAAGTGCAACTCCTCCAACAATTGGTAAAAGGGAAGCAACTACCCAAAGAGTAGGCAGCTGTAACAGCAAAACATAATCATCCAAGTTAGAAAAACCAACGTGAAATGATCAATGAATAAAATGAAATAGCATTACTAATCTCAAAAAAAGGAAGTAATTGCATCAGTTTTCTTGCAAAAATCAACTACGAACAGGCCCTATAAGATCTTATGCAAACTAAAATCAACAAGTTGAACAAACTTCGAGAGATATTACAGAAAAAAAAAAAAAAAAGGAAACTCAAAAAGGTACAACATATTATTGATATAAATTATAATCTCAAGTTTTTTTTATTTATAAAGAAAATGTCAATCTAAAAAAGAAATCACACCTCTCCTAGAAACATAGCAGAAAGCACAACTGAAAAGAATGGCTCCATAGCTTTAATTGTGTGAGTGAATGAAATAGCCACTTTCCCTAGACTCATATTCGTAAAGAGGTTGCCCAAGGTATGCACCACAGCAAGTGGCAGAATCACCGCAAGCTGTCAAGAAACAATTCAAAAATTAGTATAATTTCAGAAAACCAACGACCACTAGAGAATCACTATTTGCACCAATACATTCCGGATACCTGAGCACCAGTGGTTTTTGGCCTCTTATACAGGTTTAAAGTCCACATTAGAGCAACAAGTACACTCCCAACAGCAAACTGAATTACAGTGACAGTTACAGGGTAATGGAAGACCTTAAGAACCTGTGAACAAAGAAACAGAATTCAATCACACTCCATTCTCTTCATTATAGTCTGAGGTTCCATTTGGTTGCTTCCTAAAAATAGCCAAAAATTAAAAGCAAATACTGAAAGGAAAAATCATACTACAAAATTTACTGCATATGAGCAACTAACTAGAATGCAACACTAGTTCTAACATGATTACAATATAGTAAAGTAAAATTCTATATTTTTCTCCAAAAAAATCACAATTTTATTATTTTTTAATTCTTTAAAATTATTATTTGCTTTTGCATCCAATTGCACTTTTTTTTTTGCTTCCAAAAGCAAAAACCAACAACGGGACGGCCTCTAAATAAATTCTGTTATAACTATGCATTCAACAGAAAGGAATCATTTAGATGCCTTACATGAACTTCAACTGAATTTACTTTTCCAGAAAAAGACCTCTTTACGCCTTAATTTCCTTCTAAAGTTTTCTTAAAGTTGAAAAGTTTCCAGAAATATTTTCAATTAGCTGATTTCAAAATGAAAACTACCAAAAAAAAAAAAGACAAATGAATAAAACGTGAAATCTAAAAACAAGAAAAAGGAAAGTGAAGATTTCTTTTAATAGAAAAAAGAAAGTAGTACCTGTTTGTTGTAGATATTGAAGTAGATGTTGAAGAGATACCACAATCCAAACAGCAATCCAAGCTCCAACGTCTTCACCAAACTACCTGACTTCTCGCCTTCACCGGCACTCTCCGCCGCCGTGACTCTAACTTCAAATCGATCCGCTTTGGAATCAGAAGGAACCGGGTTCCAGGCCCTGAGTGGCAAGGCCAAAGAGGAAGAGAGAGACCACGATCGCTTTGGCAAAGAAGGAACCGAAACGGCATTGCTTGAAGCAGAAAGATCATGCCGTTTGGAAGCGGAGAAAGAAGAGGAAACGCGAATAGAATCAAATCTAGATTTGGAACCGAATTTTTGCGGTTTCAGAGAAGGAATTGAACAAGGAGAAGACAAAGAAATGGCTGCGCTTTGCATTGTTTTTGTAGTTTTAATTTGGTGAGAGATCTAAATCGGAGATTCACAGGAGCCAGAGAGAGAGAGAAAGAGTTTTAGAAAGGAAATGAAAAAAGAGCTTTGCGGAATCCGTCGATACAGGGTTGGTGGGAACAGCGAGTTTGCTTTGCTTCCCTCGCAGAATATGAGAAAATATTTATTATTAATAAATATACTTTAAGGAAAACTACAAAAGCGAACGGATCCCGACTGCCGGATATTCTAAAGTTTGGCTTCAAATTTTCTTATTCTGTTTGTAAAATTCTTTTTTTTTTTTAAGGAAAAAGAAAATACGCGAGAATTTTTTTTAGTAGCATGAATTTTAATTTCATTTTCTTTTTAATTTTTAATATTTTAAAATTATGTTGTCTTTTTAAATTACCTTTTATAATTTTTTTATTTTCAATATAAAAATTATAAAAAACAATAATTTTATAAAAAATTTAAATACAAATATATTAAATTTAAAATTTTTTGAATTCATGAAAATAAAAATAAAATTAAAAGAAATTTTAAGACATTCAAACTTTTAATGAAAAATATACTAAAATCAATTTTTTAACACATGAAAAAAGAAAAAAATTTTGAGATAAAAAAAATGTTTACAGATAAGGGGCATATGGGAATGAATTGGAAATTAGATTTTAATAGAGATTAAAAAATAATTCATATTTGATAAATTTTTATTATTTCAATTTGATAGAGATTTTTTTTTTTTTTTGTAAATCGAGGATTAGATCGAAACTTAGATTTTAAAATACTCTTTGTGGACTCATTTTGGAATATATAAAAAATATATTTTATTATTTATTTAATTTTACATTTATATATGTATTAATAAAATTATTATTTAATATTTTAATTTATAATATTAATTTAATTTAATTATTATATTTATATACAATTTAAATATAATTTATATTAAAAATAATATTTTTATAAATATAATATTAAATTAAAATTATTAAATTAATTTTGAATTGAATGCAGATCAAATGTAAATTATATTTGTGTTAGGTCTCGAATATCAAAAAATAAAAATTTAATATTAAAATAAGTTTAAATCGAAAAGAATTTTTAAAAAATTAAATTAAAATTAAGATAAACGAAAACTCATATCAACGGATCCAATTCTATATTTCACAATCAATTTAAAAATGATAGAAGAAAAATACAAGGAAAAGGCTAAAACTACAGATTGGTTGAATGGGGTTGAGTTTGACACTTGAGTTGGTAGGAAGTAGGAAGTTGGAGGAAATGGACAGGAGACTAGATCTTTGTTTAGATTGGATTTATCTACCTGACTTATTATTAGTATTATTATTATTATTATTATTGATGTTATAAAAAGCGAAGAAACCAAAAAAATGGAAGGAAATTTTAACCCATTTTCCATTTTTCCTAACTGCCACAACATTACACCAATACCAATTGTAAATGATACGTAAAACTGTTGTTTCTGGCTTTCAGTTATTCTGGATCCAAAAGGGGATAAATTCGTTGGAAGTTTTGTAACAGAAGGCTAATAAAATCAAGTCATATTGCTAAAATATTCTTAGGATTTTGGACATGTTAAATCCTGCATCAAAGTCTTGAAAGTTATTTATAAGAGAATTGTAAGGAAAGGTGTCACTAACCTGATTCCAAACAACTTGTTGAATAGAAATCACTATAGCTCCATTCATTATTCAAGTTGAGTAATTTCTATGGAAACAATTCGTAAATACGGAGGAACAAATTTCCTCGGGTAATGAAAATTGTAAGTGCCCTTATCTTTGAACACTTGCAGCAGTCTTAGTAACCTGACGGACAGGGCATACATCAATAAAAATGTTCAGAGTCTTTAGACAAACACAAGCGTCTACATGGCAATAAAAGGACAGAAACTTCAATAATTTTTGCAAGTTCTGCGATTAATCTGCTTCTTCGCGGAGAATAAAGCATCCAAAACATTTTAGATGGTTCTGGTTGTTTGTATAGGAGGCCGCATCATCAACCTCTCTCTCCCCAAAGCCTTCCATACCATGCACGGCACCTTATTCCATTACCTGTTTCAAATTGCTCTTCAGAACATTAATAACAGACTCATTTGTACTTAGCTTTATTACGCCAGCATTTTTTTTTTTTTTGGGGGATTTTTGTTTTTGGACTTTTTTTAAAATTTTTTATTTTTTTAATTTTTCAAAATTTTCTTTTTTTTTTTTTAATTTTCAGTTTTTTAATTTTTTATTTTTGGATTTTTTCAAATTTTTTCTTCCTTTTAATTTTTTTAAAATTTACAGATTTTTTATATTTTAGAAATTTTTCAATTTTTTTGAATTTTTTGAATTTTTGAATTTTTTGAATTTTCATATTTTTTGAATCTCTTTTTTAAATTTTCATAATTTTTATTTTTTAGATTTTTTAATTTCTTTTTGAATTTTTGAATTTTAAAAAGTAATTCAAAATTATTTTTTTATTTTTTGTGAATTATTCCTTTAATATGACATGCAATGGATCCACCAACCACTAGCATTTTATCATCATATGTCATAGTTTTAAGGTATTCATGTCATTTTAGTAATTTGACTACCGACATTAGTCTAAATATCAAAATATATGATAAAATGAAATTTTGGATATTTAATTGAAATTTTTATTTATTTTATTACTTGATTGACAAAAAAATATAGTACAATAACTATTTATATTTAATTTTTTATTATAATTATTAACTTTTTAGGTGAGATAGTAATCCAAAATGGGATAGATTGGATTTCTCTAAATTTTTTTCAAACAATGATTTTAATACAATTGAATATAGAATTAAAATCAATATAAAAATATGATGCAAATAATAATAAATTGATAATTTTAAAACAAATAAAAGTAATGTCAATGAATACAAACTAAAAAGATAGAGATAGAGAAATCAAATATAAGGATTTATAAAGATCTGGTCCTTCTTCTCAAAGTACCTACATCTTCTCTCTTAGTTGCCACACTAAGACTTCAAGTCATTAAATTTGAATTGAGAATGTAACCTTATCTTTTTCTTCTCAATGCTTAAGATAAACACCTCTACCTTTACACAATAAAGAGGATATCTCATCTCTTGCTTACAAAATAACTCAAATACTTTTTACAAACTAAAATACCTCTCAAGGTTGAGTGTTTGCCTAATGTAGTATAAAAAAAATGGTGAATGAAATACAACAATATTTTGGACATAAGAAGTATAAAGGATATTGAATTTACGTTTTAAAATTAATGATTTCTTTGGTATAATGAAAATATGACTTATTTTTTCTTACTCTCTTGATTCATCAACCTTCTTGGTGTATTAGAATGCCCAATTATAGAGAAATTAAGGAACTAACCATTGAAGAAGCTTGGGAAATGAAAACACATGATTTTCTCTTTAGAAACTAGCTGTTTGAACACTTTTGGTCATAAGGGATCGATTAGTTTTGATAGAGGATCGATCCGATGCATTAGGCAATCAATTAGTTCTTGAATTTCACTTAATTTTTTATCATTACAACTAAAGGGATCGATCGGCTCAAGCTGGTTTTTGGATTTTTTATGACTAGTGCTCTGGTTTTTCTTATTTTGCACCTTACTCACTAATTTAATCATATCTTGAGTTATACAAGTCCAAATCAAAAATCATTTGAAGATTTAGAAACTCAACTTAAAGGGCTTTCTATCCATATAAAATTTATCAACTAATTCACTATATATGAATTATAGTGAATTTTATAAACTACCCTTTGTACAGTTTTAAAAAATTATATAGTGTCTAGTAAAAATTTATATCATTTCTTAAAAAATTTAGATTTAGATTTTGTTTAATCCATTGGAAAGTAGACTTAAAGAGCTTTTCAACCATATAAAATTCAAATATTAAAACTTTGTAAATTAATATAAAAAATAAAACATGTTCAATGTTGTAAAAATTTTATTCTTATAAAACAATTTTCTTAAGTTTATCTATGTCTCAAAATCAATATTATCAAAATTGTATTGAGTCCAAAAGGAATATTGTCACTTTAAAAACAACTATTTGACTTTCATTTAAGCTCAAATAAATAATCTTTAAAGATAAATTTGGTATAAGAAATATGAAAACAAAGAAATGTTTGTTTACACTTTGAAAAAACACATTATTTATTTAATACTAAAAATAATAAAACTTAAGAACATGTACTAAATAAATTTTTCTCAAAATCTTAATTACACTTATTTAATTTAATGTTTTGTCATTTCAAAATAAAGATTAATTCAAAACTAACAATCTCCCCATTTTTGTTATGACAAAACTTAAAGATAAATTTGCTTAATGAAAAACTTTGAAAAACTCTCCCTTAAACAATGCATGGCAAAACTCTCCCTCAATTTATGCATCTTAATCTAACACAACTCAACTAACTTATGTTAGAGCATATATAACAATTAAGCACATGCAATCATATGTATATCAAGTACAAGCATATTTGTCCATTAAATATTTATGTTCTTTTTTGTCATAGCAAAAAGGCATGAGCAAATAAATACAAAAAGGTATTAGCAAATATATTTATAAAATATTTTTCCCTTTTTTGTTTAAACTCTTTATACCAAATATTTAAACTCCTATATCAATTGCTATTAGCATACAAGAAGAAATATCTCTAAACTTGCCCTCTTTTGTCATAGTAAAAAAGAGAGAGATCAATTCAAGGCATGGGACAAAATGCATGATACCAATAATATCAAGAGTACTTTTGAATGCATGTAATCAAGTAATATTCACAATCAAGTTCAAATGCATATATTCAAACACAAGAGCATAAAAATATTCTAATGTATCCAATTTTAGCATTTTAGCATAAGTCATCAAATTTATTGCATGAAATTTATGAGCAAAAAATAATGAATGATATGCAACCTACTCATAAATCATGTTATTGTAGATGTGCTTAGAACATAAAACATCAATAGTAGTTAAGCATATATTTAAGCTCATACCAAATATTAAGGATACCAATTGTTAAAGATATATCATCAAGAAGCATACCAATTGCTATAACAAAATAATTCATTTTAATCCAAGCAAAATTGTATTCTAAGATTTTTTTTTTCTTTTTCAAAATAAGGAGTAATCAATTTAAGGCACACACAATTTTACATGAAAAGTATAAGCAACAAGGATAGATATAATAAAGAAGCATCAATGAAAGTTCAAAAGATTCATTAGCAATTTTGTCCAATAATTTTAAAAAATTACACATATTTCAAG